CCCCAAATTGCAGCTGCTTGTAGTGCGTTGCCATAATGGCCACCCTTCGCATTCACCTCTGCCCCATGCTCGAGGAGAAGCCGCGGAAGCGATTCGTTCCCCCGAATTGCAGCTGCTTGTAGTGCATTGCCATATGCGCCACCCTGAGCATTTACGTTTACTGTATCTGCTTTTCTATTGACTAGGAATTCACAGGCAGTCACCAAATTTAACAAGGAGGAATAGTAGATTGCTGGTGGGTAGGGCTCGGGGTCGGGGGAGTAAAGTTTGTCAGGATTATATATATCTAGCCACTCCTTGTCAAGCTCGAGAACCTTCACCACTGCGTCTGAGAGTGGGGCGGGTGCCGGATCTTCAATAGATCTGGTATACACAAACCAATAGCGAGCACTGTGGTAAAGAAATGATGTTCTCTCAACCCTTTTCCCACTGATAGTCCCTGGTGCACTATGTCGCAGTATTCGACTGAGACAAGCATGCCCCATCAGTAAATTGGCTTTATCCTTCGAAATATAATAGTAGGCACCTGGGCCCTGAGCTGCGCGGTCGGAGATCAAATATTCCTTCACCGAGAAATGTGCTAGTCGTAATCGGCGGTCTTCTTGGGGGGATGATTCATCGTTCCTGGCATCTTCGAAGGAAATTAGGCTAGGGCAAATGCTGAGGAGGGAACTCTGGTCAAAAAGTGTTTTCGAACCGTGGCCATATTTGTTGACATCATATTTGATCACAATGGCCTCCGCAAGCTGGCCTAATGTCAATGGCTCTGCCGAAAATACGAGCCAATTCATCGCTCGGCGAATATATTCCTTCTGCCTCTTAGGAATGCTATCCAGGATCCTCAAGTAGACGGAGTCTAAATCTTCCGGGAGCTCCTCCAATGCTTGTCTCACGTCTTCTGGCGTTATGCATTCCTGTAGGACTCGCAAGAGACAGTCTACCCACCTGAACCTTAACATACCCACCCTTATATCAGCACAAGTTGATGATTCAGAATTTGGGCGTTACTTACATTCCCTGTGAACCTGTAACAAGTGTTTCCTCAATCTCACTCTTGATTTCTTGAGTGAATCCCCGGAATTCATCCTTACTATCTAGAGAGTTCCGGATATAAAACCGGATATCCGGGTCGATTGTTTTGGACTGCAAGGGTAGTGCAAAGGTGGCAAGAGGTTGGACGGATCTTACAATATCGCTCTCGGGACGGCTGGTGATGAGGATGGAAAGCGATTCCGGATTGTGATCGGCAGTTAGTTTCGTGAGCCAAGATAGGAGGTCCTTCCGCTCGGACTTGGGAACTTCATCCAAGGCATCCAAGATTATGAAAGTCTTCTTCTTGAACCCCTTTATAATCTGTGACAATAGATCTTGCAGAGCCTTGGTATCTGCCGGCTTTCCAACCGCCTTGGTGCTATTATACAAGTCGACAATCTCACCCGGCAAACCGCGATCGGAAGGCCTTTTCGGAAGTTGGCCAATAAGGGACAGAAGCATATTGGACAGGTTCTGCTTCTCGGAGTCGCTGAAGGTGAAGTAAAAATAGGCTAACGCATGGTCATTGCTAGTCTCGCACAGATGTTCGATATCTTCAATAGCAGTAGCACTAAAGAGTGTGTTAGCAATCAAGGGATCGTGTTGCACCTCTCAATACCCGGCCAAGTTCGCACCTGAGGACACTCTTGCCACATCCGGCTAGAAGACGCAAATGTTAATGCCATTTCTCGAAAGATAAGGATTCACTCATATCTAGACTTACGTATACCATGGAGCCATAGAGCCCCCCCACTGCCTTCCTTCCAATTGCTGTAATCGGGTCCCTTAAGTAGCCAATTCCCAGTACCTTTTGCACGAACTCTAAGTGCAGATGAGTAATTGGAGGCGGGATCAACAACATTAAGCCACCTCTGTATTTCCTGTAATTTATTCTCTGGGGTTTAAGAATATCTGGTATTAGTAAAGAGAAAAGTTGGCAGGGTTAGGCATAGCGTGACCAAGTACCATCAAGTTTTCGTAACACACTTGTTACCGTCTCCCTAAACAACTGGTTAGTATCACCACCAAAACTAGAAGGAAGCGGAGAAGTCAGGTTCTAAGAGGATTGAAGAATGGAAAACCTACGTTATAGCCGTAGATAGCAACAGATGAAGTTCCGATCTCTGCTTCTCAATCAAGCCCATGTAACGCTCCATTTTGGGTTTACTGAAAGGCCAAAGAAACTTCCTCGATGATTTCCTCCATTCCGGAACATCTAACCTTTTCTCCAGCTCCTCGAGCGCTTTCTGGTAATCTTTCAAACTTTTCTTTTTCGTCCATTCAAGAAGCTCGGGGTATTGCGGATTGTTCTCATCGCCATGTTCCGCAAGACTTTTGATTTTTGCCAATTGTTGGTCAATACTCCGAATCTCGTCCCCCAGTTTCTTGAAATCTTGTTCGCTCTCCTTGACTACATTGCAGTAGTCATCGCAAAGCTTGTAAACCTTTACGCCGAGGTGAATGAGGGCGGCGCCACTGGCAACGACAGAGAACGGCTCTGCCATTTCTTTTCTTAAGGGATGCTGTAGGCCTAAGAGGGAAAGTGCAAAGGTGTGGCTGTGATAGATCTCTATCTCTCAGGAATAGAGGATAAACAGAAAGCGTTGTTGGGTTTTGGCGTGGGCGGTCCGTGGATATTTGGGCGCTTCGAAGTTATGCTTTTTGACAGCGGATTCGGGGACCATGTGGGAGACAGGAACAACTCGTGGGGAGTGTTTTTTTGGATTAAATTTCTTTATTAAGATTTCCAAGAGCGGGGCTCCAAAATGTGAGGGCCAGGAGCGGCAACTGCATGCCTGGTCTCTACCGGCACAACTGCAAAGCCAACCATTATTCGAGGAGACCAATTTCCATGCTCACATTTTCAGCAACGATCGAATTTCTTTTCCTGCATGGGTTCTGATGCAAGCACGTGTACGGATACTGTACCGTGATAGGGTAGTCTTCTTGCTGTAGCTCCCGCTTATCTAGGGAAAGTGTGGCAGACTATTGTTCGTGTCGCATTCAATAGAAAAGCCAAGACAGTGTATCATTGGTCCGGCGATCCCCTCCCTACTCGAGTACCGGAATCCAGGCGTTCAACTTCAACTCGGCCGTCTGCGCACTCGTGTGCTTGTGTACTCGTACTACACCCTCGAAATGCTACTGCTTGATCCAGGAGTCCCAGTGCAGCACTCGGGGAGAGGGTCAATTCCCCCACGCGGGAAATAGTAGTATTTGATCCTAACCCACTTGGAATCAAGTTTACTGGAGTCGGCGATTATTCACGGTTGTGTCCGTAAAGTCAGGAAACAATTTCTTCCGACACAAGCAAGTCTATCGGGGGCCTCCACTACTGGTAAATTAACTCACGCAAGATTATTTCAATGGACACACACGCGGGTTGCAGCTGATTCGATTGCCTTCACAGGTATTTCTTTGGTCAGACATCCCCGGCCCCTCCTTGCCTAGGGAAGCCGCAATGAACCAGTTAGCCCTCATAACCATCAAGCGCCAATCGCATTTCATAGGAGCACTTTTTAGAAAACCCTAGCGACGATATGAACCAATGCTTTCTACCCAACGCTTATTGACAAGCATGATGAACTACCGGCACCCGCACACAGAGACAGACGGAAATTCTACGAGTATCACCCCAAGCATGTCTTAGGGAGGTCGGAGCTTATCAGAATCTGCACAAGTGTAGTAAATGCCACACGTCACACCCCGGATGCCCAGCCGATGCATCGCGCCGCACAGAATTCGAGAGGGCAATGGTGAACACAGGACTGTGCTGAGCATGCCGCATTCCTCGGCCGCCGCCATTCGGTAAAGCCTGATCACTTACTACTTACTGATACCGTTGGTTTACCAAACAGATGCGATACGACAGGCCTTCACCCCCCTTCTTGAACACCCGCATTCATCCAACACCGCCAGAAGGGTGCTTGCAATTTAACCGACCAACCAACCTTGTGCGGCTCCGGAGCCCCTCACTTTCTCGGAGCTGAGCCAGCGGCGGAGGTAATCCTTTCTCCCGCTTTATATACAGTAGCTGTAGCTGTAACCTCTCAGCCTCGGTTTCACCCTCCATCGCCGCCCCAAAGATTTTCCTTCCATCCTCTGACTCGCCTTCCCTCCCCTGAGCGAAATTGTGAAAACACCACCAAGTACAGCATGCCCACCCAACCGGTAGACTTTCCGAATGACCAAACAAGGCACCGGCAGCGGCTGCGTTGAAGAGTTTCCCGGAGGTGTCGGCTCGTCAACCCTTGGAGTCGGTCGAATTCTTTCCCTTCATCTAAGAAAACTCTCGAGGCTCAGGCTAGCTCTCCAACCGATGGAAAAGAATCTCCCGATAAAAATCAGCACCGAGAATGTCCCGGCAAGGGATAACGCTAGCTTTGATACCCCGATCTAACATTTCTTTTGGCACGTACTGGCCTAGGTTCCTCCACGCTGGGGAATAGTGGACATTGCTTCTGCTTCCACTTTCAGGTTCGCTAAGATATTATACCATCAAGGGCACCGTTGAGGCTGATACTAGCTTCTGTCCCGCTATCTCTTATATCATCTAGTCCCTTCCTCTTCTGTTCATATCCGGCTCTCGGTCTCCCCCACGCACCTAGCTCTCGATTTTCCACCTTCCGTCCCGACCTCTTCCTATCGCAATCCGCCACCCGCCACTCGATATCCATGCCTGGCTTTCCAACCTTCCCAAAAGTTTGCAGCGCCGCCCGTAGTTATCGGCAGTAGCAAAATTCCCTCCTATGCGCACTCTGCTGCCCAATGAAAAGGTATCAGGCCTGGGGCCGTGTTGGTGGGGTTCCGGAGCGTTGTTCTGTGTACTGTACCTTATTCGATCCAGGTAATAAAGCACCTTATCAATCAACATAGCTATCTGTTTTTGATGCCACCTCCTCCGCAGTTACCTTCTTAGCCCCGTTCTACTTCTCCCACTTTCCCCTCTCGCGAACGCCTTGACTTACTCTCGGTCGCTACCCCGACCTTACGCAGCCTTCCGGCAAAGAGCCGCGGCGCGCTTCGTGGAAGCTGGCGGATATCTCTGGCGTTACCCCCTACGGGACCTACAAGGCATCTAGTCTTTCCCATCTATGTTCCGGCGCGTTGTAGCATGATACTTAATCGGGACCCACTAAGGCTTACTGCGCGCCTACTCCTGTGTCAGGGATGGGGTGGGGGTGGGTTGAGCACGTTCGGGACCCCGGATAGGACCCTCAACTCTTTTCTTCTCGTTCTCTTTCTCATTCCTCGAAGCCCGCACACGGCACTACCTCATCAGTCACAAGGAGGTTAAGGTGTTCCTATTTCTACGACACGTCCGCAAATAGTCTTACACGTTCATTGCCGTGCCCGGGAAAGGCATCTTAACCTAATTGTCTATTGTACAAGCGGGAGGGCTCAGCAGCTGCTGTAGAGCTGATCTTTGCCCTCCTGGTTCGCCTCTTACCGCTCATCCCATGATTATCTTCATTCGAGTTTTCCCTTTCTTTCTTAGACTCTCTAGCGATTGTTGTCTTTGTTAGCGGCCGCGTAATGGCCACGGCCCACTACTTTTGAGCCCTTTTGTTCGGGCCCCCGATTGTATGAGTAGTGGTCCAAAAGGGCTAGCTAGGGCAACAATTCCATCCCAGCATCACAACCGTTCCCCCCCCTCTTTCCTAGCCCATCAGGCGCCTGGCCCTTGACACCGTCACTCCCCACCGCCACTTAATGCTTCGGATCTCTCATGACCAACTGCTTCATTGTCCCAAGTGAATCCCACGACTCCCGATTCCCCTCGATACCAGAGCCCCACCGGCTATCACAGGTTGCCCGCTTCACCAGACCGATTCTCTCAACCCCCACTGCCCAGAATACCAATGGGCAAGGTGTAACGACACTCGACCCCTGTATCTATATATTTTGTCCTATGGTTGCCAGGAGGGCCTTCTGAGACGGGCTTGGGATAGCTGTTCTTGCGGCGGATGGTAGGGCCGGGGAGGCAATATGGCGAGGAAAAATACCTAAAGAGTTGTTTTATAGTAAATCGGATGCAGGCATTCTCACAGCCCACAGCTCATAATAAATAAATTCAAAAGATACTACCTCGCTCCACACTTGCCTCTCCTGGCCTACTACTATACCCAAGTCCTGTATGCTGTGTCAGCAGGGGGGGGCAACAGATGCGTAAAACATCTGGGAACTTCCGGCATAGGAGATCCTTCTCGAATTCATAGTGCTAGAGCAGCGTTTCTCCTAGGAAGTACCTGAAGTTCCATAGAGCTCAGCGGGAGAGTGAGCGATGGTCGCCTCTCCTTTATTTGTAAGCGGCTGAACCCACGTAAGGCGCTCCCATGACGACATATCCTATCTGTATTCCGGAAATACGTGGCAGGAACACCCAGCATTCGTTACATAGTTTCCCCACCCCGTAAACCCTCCAATGTGCTTACCCAGCTCCAAAACCAGCACACCCAGCCTGATCCAAGCAACGCTCAATTGATCTTTACCACAGGGAAGCAAAGATGGACGGTTGGGGGGGCAAGATTAAACATTCAATATTGAACACAGTAAAATACATTATCCTTGCTAGAAGCTGGTATCGGCAGCCCCACTCATGGCTATGAGGATTGTACAGGGTTTCTTACCCGGCCCCAATGCGCAAAGTCATTATGCGGTTCCACTGCCCAGATTTCCCCCTGGGCGATTCCAGATAGAGCCAGCTCAAGAGAATACTAGCGCATACGGCACCGGAGATCAAATCACGTAATTCACGCGTTACCGGTAAATTTTAGTAGATTGATACCTACCAAGCAGGCGGGATGAATAACGAACTGGAAAGGGTTTTTTCATCGATTAGAAAGCAGACCCGAGGGCCAGGATGGATGAGGGTTTTGTTTTTCCAGTT